ACCCTGCCCACCCTGCCACCTACAGTGTCGCAGCTCCTTCTTGAAGGCCTTGTGATTCCCCAGCTCATCCAGGAAGGCCTGGCCAGCTTTTCGGAGGCTCTCAGAACTTTTCTTGGTCAGGAACCAACCGAAGTAGAGTGGCAGGAAATCCTTCTCCAGCCCAGGCTTCAGCTTCTTCAGCTCATCAACCGACAGCCCCCACTGGTTCTTCTCTTTGAGCTGGGCACAGTCCAGCCGCCACGCCGTCTTGGGCTCCACCAGTAGCACCTGGTACTGGTACTGGTCGGCTAGTTCAAAGAGCTGCTCCAGCCGCTCCCGCTCATGGTTGGTGTCATCCAGCACAAGGACTCGGATGTCCCGGCGGCAGCAGTCAGCCAGGTCCTTGTCCAGCTGCTTGTACTCCTCAGAGAAGCCGCCTCGAGCGGGGGTGATCTTGTAAGTGTCGGCAGACACTGTCTTGGTGCTGTCACGGTACCTGTCCATGATGACCCGTGCCAGAGTGGACTTGCCACTTCCTGGCAAGCCACGCAGGATGAAGAGCGTCTTGCACTCTTGCAGTGTGCCCACCGTCTCCTCATCCTGCAGGAAGGGAAACTGCAGCTCAGGCTTGTCCTTGGCCCCTAGGGATGACATCTTGCGGAAGAAGATCTTGGGCAGGAGTGTATGGCTCTTTCGAGAGAAGCCTCTATTCTGTGTAAGGAGGGGAAGAGCAGATGTCAGCCAGGTCACTCGTGGCTCCCTTGCTCCCTTGTCTCTGGCCTTGATCTAACCAGGAACCCCACCCTGCTTGGAGCTCGCCAGCCCTCATTTACAGGTACCCTGCGTGTTGTGGGTGCCTCCCAAGCTGTGAAGTAGTGGACTCTCGTCTCTATTCTGTACCGAATGCTTCTGGTTGTGGAGGATGAGGACAGCCTGTCCAAGCTTTCCTAGATCTTCTTCTAGTCAGAGTAACCCACTGCTGTAACCTCGAAAGGAAAATGCTGCAAGTGTGTGCAGGGAGGGCCCGAGGCTGTGCTTCTAGAGCAGGCCCCCTAACTTTTATGTTCTCCACACCTATTCAGGATGACCTCTTTGGAGGAAGGCATCTTATGTCTGGGCACAGCCACAGCTGCCCTGGCTCTGAGTGTGCTGAGGCCGGTGTGGGTGGAGAAGGGTTACCCAAAGACTGCGTCCCTTCCCCCAACAATGGCAGCAACAGATAATACTCTCTTGTCTGGGATGGGGGGGGACAATGGTCCCACAGAAGGGTTGGTGGGGGGCAGGGCTGGAGAGCGCTGGACAAAGGGCCTCATTCACCACGCGTGCCACCTCCTCCTCTGCTCTCGACCCCCCTCAAAGTCCTGGTCTTTGTGCCTGCACCAGGACTGGGCAGTACTGGGCACCTGCGACCAGGGTCTAGCTCTACCCACCACTTTGCTGTGCGTCAAAGCACCTCTCTGAGCCACTTCTGCCAGCTAAAAACCACAAGTGACAAGTTTTTACTGTAAACCGTCTTCTCTACACCAGCTCCACCTCCCGCCAGCACCATGAGAGATGCGCTGGCACACTGAGTTCCGAGACAAGGCCCCAGGGCGGGGAAGGAGAGGAACGCCCGCCCGGCGCGGGAGCCACGCGCCATCTGGTCCGAAGGTCCTAGGTCCCCTCCTCTTCCAGAGGCCGCCCCCCACCCCCAGCCCTGTCCCC